GTTGATATAAATAGACGTCCGCCCACACCCACTAGGTTGCTCAACATCCCTGCCTGTGTTTTAACCTTCCTCTCCTATAAAGGTGATTTCTTTTGCCCATTTTATAAAATCTGTGTGTTCTGACAAGCTCCCGGGACGACCTGTGCACGCACTGTCCAGTTTCGGAAACAAATCATAGGCTCGCAAAAAAACAAACAACCCAGCTTTTAAAATAACTTAATTTTTGCTTAAAAGTGGAGCAATTAATTAAGATTAAACATCATTAAGAGCTTAAAAACGGAGGGTTTAACGCAAACCCGAATCAATAAGAGATAATATCAAATCAACATAAGTAAAGGTGTTTCTCGTTGACAGAGCACATATTTCAGGATGTAAGAATAAAAACGCTTACGTCACTTTATGTGGTAGTTTGTAAAATGTGAATGTATACAAATAACGACATATAGATTAAAAGAAAATCACCCCCCCCCCCAAAAAAAGCAAATAAAACACAAACTAAACAATAAAGAGATAGCAAAGTTAGAACAGATTGTTTGTAAATATTGTACTCCCCATCCTCCTCCTAAACTTACAATTTAGGAACTGTATGTCACTGTCAGGGCTAACCCGAACTGACTAGGAAACAGCATAACAGGAGACAAATGGCGATGCATAAAAGTAAATAACTTGGCCAATCAGAAACCCAACTCGTGTCATCTGGGTGCAACAGCCTAGAGCTGAGATATTATAATACATGTAGTCTATAATAATTTTACGTTTTACAATGGACTGAAGGCATTCCCCACAGCTGCAGAGAGAGTTGGAACTCCTATTCATGTTCAAAATCTTGCATGCAGTAAAAATGCGAGATGTACCTCATAAAGAAATTTCTCTTCTCTGTAACTCCAAGGCTATTACTATATTATTGAACCAAACTGAAGTTTGCACAGTGGTAAACAACGTTCAGCTTCCAAGCAGAAAAAAATGTTAAAGGATTAGGCTAAACAAAAGCAGATTCGACCTTTAACTATAAGCCAACAGTCCAATCTGACACAGAAATAATAGTTGTGAATATATATCATTATATTGCCGGATCATCTCTCGTAAGAACATTACATTTTTATGTACGCTGCTCACTAGCTTGAAAATCACTTCCCGTCTCATGGGTCAGCGAGGCGAAATTCAGAAATTCAAAGATCTGAATCGTCACTTGCTGAGCTGTCAGCCTCGGGAGGAGGCTTGTATATTTTGAACGCTAGGGTGTACAGAAGAACAGCAAGCAGCTTGAGAGAGATCCACCAGGCCACGATCCTCACGCTGAGGGATGAGCGGTCGTAGAGCCAACAGGAGCCCGTGGAGGAGCAGCCTTCTTGCCATGTGAGGCACGTGCTGTCGAGGATCGCGCCGAAGAGAACGGGGCCGGGGGTGGAACCTGGTTGGATGGGTGGGTGGGTGTGGGTGTGGGGGGAGATATGACGTGAGGTGACTATATCATGGGGTATGGATACCGTGTAGTAGAATTGGAATTATCTGTCCGGACTTGACTTGCCCCCCCCCTCCCCTTTCACCCACCCTTCACCCTCTCTGAGACTGACACATTTGGATTTGCGTGTGTGTGTGTGTGTGTGTGTGTGTGTGTGTGAATGTATGTGGGTGCGTGCGTGTGCTTGCGTTTGTGTGCTTGCGCGCGTGTGTGCATGTGGGAGTGTGTCTATGTGTGTGTTTGCTTGTGTGTGCGCACGCACATTGAGTATGTGTAAAACTTGGGATATACAATCGTTTGTAGAAAGGGGAGGTATTTCAAAACAATTTTCTTCTCTGGAAAGAAAAGGAAACTATCAACGAAATCCCCCCTCCCTCCACACACATTTTACACACAC